TTCTAAAAGCTGCAAAGAGAAAATGGGAGGACACCCCGAACTTTGCAAGCTGCTCAGCCATACAGTTAGTTTATATTGTGGTTAGGCAGCCCTTGAAATGATGAATAAATTTATCTTTATTGTCCACCCCAAAATTCTCTTCAGCTTTTCTTACAATTTCCTATATTGACATTTACAGATCAATATAGATCATGCTAAAATAAACCCAGAGTCTTAAGATAGAGGCAAAATCTGTTGTGTCGAAATTGTTGTCCCCTTGACTGTCCCACCAATACATTTTTGACACATTGACACATCACATCTTCATAACAAATGGGAAGATGCTGAGATATTATGTATTGATGTGTCAAAAATTTGTTTCTACATCTTCCTATTTGCTATGAAGAGGTGACGTGTTGAGTTGTCAAATTTGTATTGGTGGGAGAGAACAACTTCAAGACAATAGATCTAAACTCCTTGAGATAAAGCTCTAATACCATATTTTTTAGGATTTCCACCAAAGCAATATGTACATTAAGCAGAAAAGTAGAAATAAAGTAGAACTCCGATCCTTTGAAGTTCCAAATGTGTACACCAAGTTTGGTTTCAGATTATTGCCACTTAAAGTCACCGTACAAGCCCTCCTAGAGACTGGCAACAATGCTTTACCAAGAATGCACAAAATCCCTCAAAAACACCTCAAACCAGAAACTCTCTCAGAGACATAAAAAACAATGTTCACACAGTACCTTTCAAATTTCAAACTAGGCTAAAGATATAGCATCACTGCATTTTAAATAGGCAAGTGATTTATCCATTGATCCTCAAAACCGAAAGAAGAAGATTTGAGAAGAGGAAGAACGTATCAAAGAGAGTATAAGGAGTCTCAAAGGGGATGGGGAAAACACACTAACTAAATGAGAGATACAGGAGACCCAAAGGGCCATTTACCTCAAAAGAACAAATTTTAGACATTGATCTAAATCAACGGTCAGTGAAGCACACGCTTACAGTTATGTATATCTAAAAATGAAAGATCACAACCATATTTCTATTCTCCATGTTTCCTAGATTATCACTTCTTCAAGGTACAGGCATTATAAAATTGGAATCCAAGTCGTCCATCCATCAACCTGAGTTGCTAAAGATCCAGTTCTATGTGTAGGTTTCTCTCTGACGACTGGTTAAACTAAAGTTTGCTGGAATTGTTATCAAATAGAGAACTATAAGATCAAGTGTTATCACAGGAAAAAAATGATGAAATGCTCATATTGAATACCTAATACCACGAGTTAAGTGATGCATCATACGTACAAACAGATATATCCTAGGATTCCATCAACTGGTACAAACTTTTGACTGGCATTAAGCTTGCAGAAGAGAAGGGGAATACGCAACCTTTACTTGTATTTCCCTTATATCCATTGATTGAACAAAAATCAGAAACTCCAATGAAACTAACACAAGGTAACGAGAGTACAAAAATTACACAATAGATAAGAGAATCCATACAAGGTCTAACGACACTTCTGATAACAGATAGCATACAATTCCACATTTAGCCCTTGTTTGAGCCCCATTTTTTCCATCAAAATGCATTCTTGAACAGTGATTTGACCCAATTACAACTACACATTTTTCAATAAAATAATATTACATGCAAACTCAAAACATTTCCTTATTTTTTAACCACACATTCTCCATAGTAACACTGTTACAAAATGCATTTTTCACAGAAAAATGGGGCTCAAACAAGAACTTAAACTTCAAACAACTTCACTCTCTTTATTATCCAGGTAGTGACACTAGCTATCGCATACCAAACATGCACTCAGTGAATAATCCAAGATAGCCTAAACTGACAGGCAAAACTAGGTGTATCTTTAGTACACAACATTGGACAAGACTTCACAATACTAAATAAGAAAAAGAAAGACAAATGTTTTTCGCGGTATTGTCCAGTCTCCATTGGTACTGCTTACGAAGAATCCTGCAAAGGAACCACATCAGAGTTAGGTAAAAGAGAACATTCTCTGCAGGTTGACTGGTTGAGTAGCATAGCCATTTGTCTCAACAGAACAGGTAGCATAAATATTCAAATTGGATGTGCACAATGCCTGATTGCTCAGTTTCAATCTCAGAGTCTCAGTTTCAATCTCAGAGTACATGCATGTTAGCAGGTACATGGATGTTCCAAATCTTCACGTTATAGATAAGAGAAGTCATGAAATGAAGATTTCCATAAATAAAGTAGTCAGGATAATGCAATGAGGCCTTTCTTCATCTGCAAGGACTTTTACCTCTGGATACAAGTCAACGGAGAGCTAATCGAGACAAGATATGATTACATGTCAGTGGCTATGTCATTTCATTTTACTGCCCTTACACCAACAGTTCTAACATGAAAACGGTATTGAGGCTGAGACTCCTATTCGTCGGGGTCATCATCTTTTTCGTCACTAGAGTCATCTTCAACTCTGTCCCAACGTGAGTAATCAAGCTGAGAGTGTCCCTTCGGTTTTGGTATTGCCTGCCAGCCTGACTTTTGATCGGATGGCTTTTGCATGCTCTGAATTTTGAAGGTAACAGCTTCTTCTGTTGGAATGGCACTTTCACATTCAGTTCTTTGCTTGCTTGCCTCGCTGCGTCCATTACATCTTTTTCTCGACTTTCACCATCCCCCATCTCTTTTTCACCTTTTTCTTC